GTGTCCATACAATCACACCAGCAGTCATCTTGGAATCCCTAGTTGACTGAATGGGGAAAACTGGAGCATCCAGTGATAAACCACAAGGGGAAATACAAGCAAATTCTACAAATTTGTACTTCTGTAGTTTAGAGATAGGTTTCCAGAACAGTTCGGAGACGTAGCCTGGTAGGATAATGGCCTTTACTTACACACATGCTCTACCCACTGAGCTCCAGCATCATATTTTTCATCACTGTCAGTACCTTGTAGAGGCTTAGTTTAGAACAGTGTGAAAAGCCTAAATCCATGAGTCCATCCTGGGCTATCCTAAGATTAGCTTGCATGTGGGATTTTTGTTATCTTTCATGGCCTACCACAGGGCCTCCACTCTGTTAGGCATGCAACTTTCAAAGCGATCAGCTTTAAAAATCTGCCTCTATGTGGTTAATGACACAGAAACATGGGCTCTTTGATAAAAGGCTGGACAGACAGAACAGGTTTATGATGTTTGTTTAAAGGTTACATTGGGAAAAGAAAGATGAGGTATTCAAATTCTGACATTTTGTTTGTGATTGTTCGACTTTATCTACCAAATGAGGAAATGGGGAAATGATAGTCCTCTGACAAGTATGATGTCAGTATATGTTTACTTCTGCTACTGTTAGCATGTACAGGGCACAATAAGCTATTTTATGTACTCCAAACGTTGGCCTTGACTGCCTGCTCTGCTTTAATCTGTGTGACTGCAGACCAATGTGTCCTTTTTCTGCCTTTCAGCTCTGCAGATCTGTATGTCAGAGATCACTTCCATCCATTCATTAGCAAGAAAAACAATGGCCTGAAGCCAGTTCGAATTAAAGCAAACAAACACGGGAATGCTTTGGCTGCCACGGATGAAACCACTCTGAGATACTGCTCTCTCTCAGAAGATAAACAGCATTTTCTACTACCTACAAAGGCCATCCTGCGCGATCACAACATAGTCATAACAACCACATCAATGGCAAAACACTTCCATGGCCTGGGGCTTGCAGAGGGGTTCTTCACCCACATTCTCATCGATGAAGCCTCTCAGATGCTGGAATGTGAAGCTTTGCTGGCTCTCGCTCTCGCTGGACCAAACACTCGCATCGTTCTGGCTGGCGATCACATGCAAATGGGACCTCAGCTTTTCTCAGTGGACGAGCACCGCCGGTCCGATTACACAATACTCACTCGCTTGTTCCACTACTATCAAGGCCAGAAGTGTGACGCTGCCCAGAAGAGCCGGATTATTTTCAGCGACAATTATCGCTCGACGACAGAAATCGTGGAATTTGTCTCCACTCATTTCTACGTCGGTAAAAATGACGCCATCAGAGCTGCGGGAAACATTCCCACTCCCTCGAATGGCCACGCCCTGAAGTTCCATCATGTCAGGGGGGAATGTCTCCTGGATGCTGGGACCATGTCCTGGTTCAACAAACAGGAGGTTGCTGAGGTGGTGAAAGCCGTGAAAGATGTTCTCAAAGACTGGCCATCAACCTGGGGGCCCAAGAGCCTGAATTCCGTCTGTATTCTGTCTGAGGGCTCTCAGGTAAGCACACCTCGATTTCAACTACAACTGTTATCAGACTGGAACAGAAACCCTTCTCAGTGTGATCTAAGGCAGTGTTTTTCAACCTTTTTTGACCAGAGGTACATTTTTTCATTGGAAAATTCTCGAGGCACACCACCAACCAAAAATGTCAAACAAATCTGTAGCCGCCTATAGTAACACTATAGTTATTCTTATCTTATCTTAAGTGTCTTGAATAGGAATCAAATAAACACAAAAATGTATTTTTATCATATTTTATATTTCTTCTTTCAAATTGCGTTAACATGTCCACTTCAATATGCAAAATTATGTTCAAAATCTAGTCATAAGGAATTATTACATGATTACTCCACCAGTCACTAGAACAGCACAGACACTCAAAAATTATTTGCAGATAATGAATTCCTTATCAAAAAATCTTTTTAGACCAATTAGGTGAAATAGGAGGATTTTCTACGGCACACCTGACCATCACTAACGGCACACTAGTGTACCGAGGACCAGGGGTTGAAAAACACTGATCTAAGGTGCCATTCACAGGTTTAAATCAGACCAGAGAACCTCTATGTGCACAACCCAACAGCATCACTTCAATGCTTTGATGGTGTTGATTGTGATGAAAAACGTACATTAACTCATTGACTGGCAGCCATTTTCAGAACAGAGAGTCGCTCACTGCCAGAGTTTTTTGAGCATTTTGACTGATTTTTCAAGAGCCACAGAATAGTTTGTGCTATGACTATGTAAACACCGAACACACCAAAAGAAAGAGTAAACTCTCTTCTTTCATCAGGAAAAAAAAAATTGTTTCTACCTTATTCCGTTCTTCTTCGACGTGCGTCTGACCGGCGCCATTTCTCTCATAGCGAACCATTGCGTTTGTTTTTATTTGCCTACAATCTATGCTCATCTCCCATCAAAAGTGGCACTGCCCCCTAGAGGGTAAATTTGTTAGTACATACTCTGTCTAGAAGCCTGATATTTACGGAAAAACTTTAGCAGATCGTCTCCCAGACACTCGCATTGAAAAACATAAAAGACGTCTATAGACGTCTTTGGCAGCGAATGAGTTAAGTGTGTGCTCCCAAGCCTGTTTTAACACATGCCATCCCTTTGAATCTTGGCTATACATTTAGAGCACATTGTCAGACTGGTAAACTGGTTAATTGGTTAACTGATCTCAGTTCTTTGTTCTGTTTAACAGGTTCGACAGATACGAATGGCACTTCGAAGAAGCCTCTCTGAAGTCAATGTTGAAACCATTTCGAATGTGCAAGGTGATTTTAACCTAGCTTGAGGCATCCCTGCATTGTTTTCCAATATATTAGCTATAAAGTACGGTGGCTGAGAAGTGCAAAACACATTTACAATTTAAAAAACACCTTATGATTTAAAAAAGCTAAATAAAATTTTAGGATACACATTTAAAGTTCAGAACACATTTACAAATTAAAAAAACATAACATTTTAAGAAACAATTTTTTTCTAAAAATGTTTGTCTCCTAAAAAATGAATTTGTTTCTTAAAATGCTATATTGTTTTTTCATTTGTTCATGTCAACGATTTGGGAATAAGCACTTCACAAAATGGATGGATGTGTTTCTTTAATTGTGAATGTGTATCTTACAATGTTATTTTGTTTTTTCATTATTCAACCTTTTTTTTTTTTATTGTAAATGTGTTTTGCACTTCTCAGCCACCGTAATAAAGAAACGGTATCTGTGTCTTTGACATCACTGTCATTTGCATGATGAAACTCCCCCTCTGTGTTGGCAGGAAAACAGTTCAGGGCAGTAATAATAACTGCCGTGCAAACGCGTGACAGCCTCCAGGAGTCGCACTTTCCCGGTCTGCCGCTTTTCAACGATCCCAGAGTTTTAAACACTGCAAT